AGTGCTGGAGCTTCTGACCCAGATGAGCTGAGCATCGAGCTGTTCTTGTGGAGCTATAGGATTGTGAGCTAACGAGCTGGTGGTTTTTCCTCTGAGCAAGGCGACGAAGCGTAGACAAAGAGCAGTTATGCAGGCGAGCTTGTAGAGCGATGAATATCTTGATAGAAGGTACCACAATGGATGATCTTCTTCAAAAGGAGCTTTAGCTGCGTGCAATAAGACGCCTGGTCTTTCTTCTCTATGAGCAAGAGCTGAAGGTTTGAACTGTTGAGCTGACCAAGAAGAAAATGAGTCTTTAAGCCACTCAGGTCCGTTCCACCAGAGCTTGAAGTCAGTTAGTTGGGTTGTAGTAAGGTCAAGAGAGGCACAATTGCTGGATTTTGTTTTCCAGGGACGTAGAGCCTGTTGCACACAAATTTTTCCCACTTGGATGGATAGCTAAGTATCCATGTTAGTGCTACAGATGAATCAGTCCATAGATAAACAGGAACTTGAGCTAATTCGAGCACTTCTTGAACGTGTTTTGCGAGCTTTGAGAGCATCCAAGCTGCAGTTAGTTCGAGCCGAGGAATTGTAACTGGTTTTAATGGTGCTACCTTAGTTTTAGCACACAAGAGCTGGATGTGAGCTGATTCGTTTGAGTTTTGAACTTTAATATAAATGCATGCAACCATGGCTAACTGCGATCCATCTGAGAAGCCATGTATTTCCATGTATGAGCTGAAGATCGTGTTAAGCCATGTAGGGATATGAACATGAGCGAAATATAGTAACTCGTGTCGTAGGTGCATCCACCGTTGCGAGAGCTGAGCAGAAAGTTCATCATCCCACCTTGATTTGTTTAAGCAGAGCTCTTAAATGAACATTTTTGCTCGAACTATTACTGCAGCTAAGAATCCGAGCGGATCAAGAAGCTGAGCTACTTCAGAGAGCACTGAGCGTTTCGTTAGCTTCTTGAGCGTTAAGAGATTTTGTAAAGCTAGAGCTTGTAGAAGAGCAGTGCTATTGCGTGACCTTTTTTGCTAGAGGGAAGCTCCCCACCATGCAGAGCTTTATTAGATCTTGAGCTATGAGCTGAGCTTCGTGCAAAGTATCTGAGCCTTGGAAATGTCGGCAACATAATGACCTTGACCGAGGATATTTCATGCCTTCATCTCCTATTAGTTGAAGTAGAACTCGTACAGCGAGGAATGGAGCTGGCCTGGTACCATAGGTAACCGCAGTGAGCTGATATGGAACTATATAGTCATGTTCATCGAGCTAAAGAATCCTCTGGAGATTCCAATCTGCTGGATGAACGTTTATCTGTCGAAACGTCTTCGTTATATCAGAGCTAAAAATAATTTTGTGTCGTCTAATCCATAATAAGACGTCGAAGATGTCGACTTGGAGCTTGGCACCAGTATGAAGAACATCATTGAGCGAGAAACAAGAGCTTGTCTGAGCTGATCCATTGTAGACGACTCTCAACTTTGTAGTAAGACTCCGCTCCTGTAGAACTCCATGATGAGGCAAATAAAAATGAGGCAGACTATTGGGTTGCACCGATGACCCCTCTACCGAGACCCTTCTAATACCGAAGTATCATGTGCCAAGGTCATCCCATTCTAACGATCACCAGAAACAATACCTGGACTTCCTCTTGAGCTTGATTGAACTTCTGGAGCACGCCTTATATATCTTAGAGCTTGTTATTCGTTCATAAATTGTGTGTAAAGCTGATTGAGCTTAGAGTCATTTGAGAGTCGCTTGAGCATTGATCGAAGATACTTGAGAGCTAGGGTTTTGGATTCTCCAAGAGCTGGTGTTGACGGAACTATTGGAAGGATCACAACATATCTTCCAGTTGCATCCCTCGAATGTGTGTTAACAAAATGAGCTTCACAGTGTTCTTCATCTGGAGTGAGCTTTGCAGAATTAACTTGAGCAGTCTCTTCTTGAACCCAAAACTTGGATAGTAGTTCATGGAGATCGTGATCCTGTTTCACGTGGAGAGCTGGACTTGCTAGAGATGATGAGCTTGACTTAGTTGCACCGAAGACGATCCAACCGAAAATTGTCTTGAGAGCTATGGGATCTAAGGCGTGACCTCGTCTGAGCTCCGAGCGAATGATTTGAGCTAATGGTATAGAGCCCAGAGAAACATCAAATTTAACTTGGCGTTCTATACTGAGGATTTGCGAGCTGTAGGCCTTTGAGATGCAACCACGATGAGCTGTCAATATTGTAGGCAGGCAAGACTATTGTTATCTTGCTGAGCACGTGAACAGTAACTTGCATTTGGTCGTCTGATTAGAGGGATTTAAGCGTGATGATGCTTAGACCCCATGTACGACCAGCAGCAACGTTGCCGATACCAGTAAGCAGGATTGATGATTGTTGTTTCGGGAGCTGGAGTTAACGAGCTAACTTATTCGTTATGGAAGAGAGCTCTGATCCTGAATCCTTACTGGTTGACGAGCCAAAACAGGAGCAATTAGTTGAGCTTGAGCTGTTGCAAGTAAAGCTGTTGGTTAGACAGACAATTCTTGGACTTGTTTAAGAGCTGGAGGATCACAAGAACTAGTAGAGCAAGATAGAGCTACTGCAGAGCTTATCGAAAGACCAGAGGTCGAGCTTAAAGATGATTCAGGAGCTGGAAGCGAAGCGCGCTTGAGCTGGTTGGAGCTACAGGAGCTGGAGCCGAGCTAATTTAAGTAGCCTCGCCTTGATGTATTGTGGTATGATACTTCATACTACAATGACGACAACGCTTCTCGCTTTGGCAAGCCTTGACATCGTGTCTGCCAAGGCAATTGCTGCAAAGCCGATACTGCATTGCGAGCATGAGCCTGTTAGGTGGAGAGAGCTTTCCCTAGTCTGGACTGCTGGCGATGAAGTGATCTGTGCTGCCACAGTAATCACAGACGTGGCCCGGATCGGTTGGCTCTTTGTACCCCACCATCCAGGGTCTGAGCTTGTTGGCAGAGCTTTGCTGAGCTGCTGGCTTTGTACTAAAGCCACGACGTTGAGCTTGATCTGATGGAGCTTGAGAAGCAGGAGCTGGAGATCGAGCTTGAGCAGTGGCAGCATATGACCGAGCTGTTGGTTTCTTGAGTTGAGCAGAGCTGGCCTACGATGGCAACTTGAGCTTTGATGATTTCTCTGCAGTAAGCTCAATACTTTCAAGAGAAATGGCTTCAGAAGTCGAAAACTCCTAAAGTGAGCTGACCGATGGATAGGCGGTGATGGAGCCAAGCGTTCTCTCCCATTATCTCTTGATGGAAGGATCTAGCCGACGATCTGAGTGGTAGACTAGTGGCATGTCCTACTCGTCGACTTCGGCATCTAGAGCTCTTAATGAATTGAGAGCTTTTCGAACACCATTGAGCAAGTCGTGAAGAAGACGAGCTGTAATTAGTTGAGCGCTAAAAAAAGAGCTAGGATAGGGCACGCGGATCGGGTGAGCTCGACTGGGACGAGAACGAGTCCAGCTGACAGGTTGCGATTAACCTCTCCCAATACAGATGTTCCTTATTATAATTATCACAACTTCTATTTTTATGATAATTGTTACTGCAGAGGAGAAGGTAGGATTACGGGCCATTTTTGGTATTTACTCAATTACATTATACTCTGTTAAATTATCGCTCGCATAATAAACGAATGGACTGTATCAAAGCTTGGACCATAATCCTACCTTCTTCTTCATTATTTTATTTCCATTCAATATTACTGTCATAATTTGAAAATTTTCATCAATACTATATTCAATTAAAATAAAAAAACCCAATAAATGGAATATTGTATTTAGTTATTGATAAATATAAACAATACAAAAATAGAATTAGAAAATGACAGAGAATAAGTGATTGTTATAATTGCAAGACGGGCAGTAACAAACTCAATTTAATATAACATTTTTTCTTATAAACTTCAGTGTAGAGCACAAGTTTCTTCGTACCTATAGTTAATTTTAATTTATCTCAATTGGTAATTGTATATTCTTCCATTTTTGTTGGAAACTATAATGTCGCTAGAAGAATAAAATGTATTACATTTATTTAAATGGTGTTTGGAATAAAATTTCTAACGTATAGAGCAACCTTCATATCATCCATTTATTGCAGTTACAATATTTCAGTAGTATGAAATGATGTAATAATTATAAGAGAAAATTTATCTTCAATAATTTATAGTACTTATCTATCTTCATTTTATGTTACTATGTCTGTTATATATATATATATGGTCCAAGATTCTTTGGGCAGATGTGTTACAAAGGATTTTCGTTCAAATAAATCAATCTTCAACTGTTAATTCATTAATTTTAACAAAAAACGATAATTATCAACAACAATCGATTAAAAATTAATTCAAACTAATAGTTATAACTATAATTATAATTATAGTCATAAATAAAAAGATAAGCCAAAATAAAGCCATTATATATTATACACAGCAATATACATTAATTGTGCTTTTTTTTATTATCATTAATCGGATTTCCCAACTGAAATCAAACCTAACTTTAACTCTACTACTGACTTGGCTTAACGGCGGCGATACAAAAGATGTAAGAAAAGATGAGATATTTAAATATGATGATTCCTAGCCAAAATAAATAGACTCCTAGGCTATCAACTAAACGGATCAGCTCTTCAGTCTGATACTTTAGAGACAAGAGTGTTAATCTCCGAAAAATTGACTCCTTTTGTACTGTTTGACTCAACTGACTTTACCATCCCCCACCACTAGTGTGGTGAGTTGCATGGAGAAGTCGTCATGACAACGAAAACCATCACGAATACCTCTCATCTTCTAACATATATTATTTCCTACACTTCATTCTTTTCTTTCCTTGGGTTTAGGATCGGAAGATCACCTGTGCTATAATTAAATTAAATTTTAGTCGATAAACTACTTCAATTTTGCCGTCTACAACTTACATAATTTCTTTGAAGAAGTATTCCATTAACACGGTGAAGAACGAAATATAATATTGTGAATGTTTCTTACAGGTTCACCAACACCACATATTCGATGGAGTGTCCAAAATGTAATCTACGAACAATCCATTAAAAGTGCTGGAAATGTTATTGAGAACAAGTAAATATATGTAACATAACGATTACAATATTCGTATTGATAAGTCTTGAATAATACCGTTTTTTTTATTATTTTAAGATTGATTATAAAATCGATAAACCGTTTTCATTTGGGACTTGCCATTACATGTACAACGTACAATACAAATCTCGTAGCACCAAAGAAAAAAACGGTGACGCTCGATTTGATTCGTAAGTATCGTCAAATCAATTCTATGATAATTATCAATTTTTGCTTCTCACTGATCATGATGAATATATCTCATGAATTATTTTGTCGAGTACGTAAGAGAAGCGAACAGTTCATTTTGAATATTCAACTCGCTGATCTATAAACGAAAAATTATACTTTGTTGCGTAAATTTTTGTCAGTTTAACTTCTATTTAATACTAGCATACAATTATGTCACAATTAGCAACTTCTTATTTGTATAAATAAAATTCGATTTTCTGCTCTTGGATTTTTAGAAAACTGTCATAAACTAAGCCCCGAGAGTTATTAGCATACTGTTGAAACATGAAAATGACCATTTCAAACTTTCGTCTGTCTGCTTGTATATCCGGGGCAATTTCAAGAGCGGCCTAATTGATTTCAATGAAATTTTTCAGACATGAATAAGAGAACATCAGAAGTAACATAGGTCACGTTTTGTTGATTTTAGTTGTTCATAAGAATTGTATTTATTGAAAACAATAAAAAAAAAGATCAATGCAGTATATTCGAATTCTTCTGACAGATGTTTTTTCTTTTAGTTGAAAAAAGTTCCACACCATGTAACATAAATGGAAACGGACTTTTTCTCTGAATAACGATTGTATCTGTTGTAAAAGAACAAAAATGTAATATTACGAGGAAGGTATCTCGACATGACACCTCCAATTTTTTCGTAGCTGATATATGTTATTGTAATATGATCTGAACGTTTTTCTTGGTATTGATTAAACAATAAAGCGAAATAAGGTCGATGTATCTGAAAGGAAGAAACAAGTGAGAACTTGGTAGAAAAGATGTGCAAAATCTAAGCAAATTAGTAGTCTGAAACTGTTCTGACTTGGTCAGAAGCATTCTCTCTATGGCCTGAAATTTTTTCTCTCACTGAATAATTAGATAAATCAAGGTATCATCTGCTAACTCATCTACGCCAATTCGACTATTTTGATTAATCTCGAGGCGTTGATATCCCTTCTTAAGAACCTGGAAGCTTCAAGTACGCAGATTTTTGGGTAAAACTGTCTATTGGTCAACAGTAGTTAGTATTCCTCGGTTACTGCCAGTATTACTTTGTGTCTGTGCTTGGTATACTGATACTGATGCCAACCTAAAGACGGCTCGGTTTAATAGTCAACTTGATACGTATATAATTGCTAAGAGTTCACGCAGTCGAATTTTTTGATAGAAACCCAGAAAACTCTTTAGAAGATTCCTCAGACATGGAATAACTCAACAGATAAGTGTTGGTCCGATTAAGCATCTTGGCTGCAAAAGGCATGAACGATGTCGACTTCTACGCCTCACGGCTTCATGGATAGACGCACACACAAGACCAACACACGAACAACTTGCTTGTGTCTCTCTCTGTGACTGACGCCAACGCAGACGACTTCTGGTCCAGTGATCGGTCCTGTAACACTTACACCTTTCCAATGATCTTCCACTTATCAGTTATCTCATCAGTGAACTTATTATCAAAGTTATTACTGAACTTATCATGTGAAATATCAGTAAATTCATTCTCAAGAATATCAGTGAACTCGTGATACCAATTTTCTGTGAACTCAAGACTTTGCAGACAATTCAAAGACCTTGTGTTATTAGACAAACTCTATTGTTATTATCATCTTACTTGTAACTGTTATTTAGTGTTAAATAAATAGTTATTTGTTATTGTTGAATCGTGACAGCCAGTTCATTTTATACCCGTTCAACAGTCCCGACTGTTCTGGCATCCAAATATCGTAAAAAAAACAGTGCACATAATTTCAATTACCGTTCACCTGTAATCTCTGTTCCATCTTCTTTCATCAGCCCAACTAAGTTAGAACAGAATCTAATAACTGACTCTTGTTGGTCAAGCCTTACTCGGCTCCTCCACATCTTTCTTGCTTGATAACAGCATCCGAGAGTAAGAACTTAGCAAATTTCTGTAACCAGTACACTTAAAATTATATTGCTAGCCAGTTATGGAACTCAACAATTGTACATCAAATTTTAAGAGACACGTATTTTGGTCTTCTTTTTTTGCCTACATACGTTTTTTTGGAGGTAAAATAGCCCCCTAAACATAACTACCTTCCGGAGTAGTTTAGGGGTTGTAAGTACTTGTAGTCAATATTTTTCAAAAGACCAAATGAATATTAAATACATGAAAAATGCATATTAGTACACAATCAATAGTTGTAATTAATAAATATTCACAATGCTTGAAAATAATCAAAATTCAGTTCAAAAAAATCTATCGCTTATGTCTAGAAAAGATTTATTATAATTGAAAGAGCAGAAAAAATCAGCATAAATATGTTTTTGTATTCTAGGAAAAATACATATATCGTTGATGTATAAACTGTCTGAAAAAAAAAAGAACCATTTTCATATGAAAAATAGCATTGTTAAAGAGTAATACATACCAGGACGCTCAATAATATAAATATCAAAGAAATTTTTTTTCAATTCATTCAATAAATACCACTAACATTTCCATACATTTATTATATTTACGAGCGCAATGATCAATCTAATCATTGTATGACTTATATTTGTAATATAGGTTAAAATAATGTTCTATACATAATGATTTTTTACACCAGGAACAACTGATAATTACGTTATTGTTGCATCCTGGAATATCACGCTGAACATAATAGTGAATCCATCCAGTTTTAATGTCTGTGTTACCACTTTTAAACTAAGAATATTTGAGAAGATCAATCGTTGAAGAGATGACAATTGATTAAGAGTAAGTGACTGTAACTTGATAATGTTATTTCTTAAGTATAAAGTAAAATAATGACCCAGTAATATTACACTATAAGAGACGTGTTCCACAAAGTTTTTCTTTATTCTGAATCCAAAGATATGAAAAGCTTGAATACTTCCTATCCATAAATGAATCAATAATAAACTTTGAAAACCATTTAAAAGTTTATTATTACACTTTATTCACCGGAAGTAAGTTATCTCGACTTTGATGTGTCTACATGCACATTATCTGGCCTGAACACTTCTGGACCAAAATTTCCTCCTGTCTCTTTCAAAACTAAAAAAGTTAGAAGAAGAGTTTGCTGTCTACGGATATTTTGGGTTGTATAATATAACTGTAAACACAATTTCCCTTTCCCAATCTTTGAATAGATCTTCACAATCTAGAGATTCTTCTTGTATTTCTTAAATGTTACTATATTCATTCAATGCTGGCAATAATTTTTTTCTGGAATTTTTTTTTTGATTGTATTTCTTTTTTATTCATATATGATTCGGGAGTAAATACATAGATATAGATTTATAAGCAAACATATGCAACTTTCAATTTTCATATAATTATCACATGTAATCATTATAAATTCAAATTTTAGTTTAATTCTGAGTTTAAACTTCCCATTTTACCATAAAAAATTATGATTCTTTATTTTTTATTGCTTATAATAGATTTCTGTCAAAATTAGCTAACACTTTATGATCCATAATTGTACTTTCGAGTTCATTATATAGCAGGAATCCACAGTAGTTCAAACGCTTTTCCTCACTCTATGTCCGTCTTTTTTCAATTACCAATTTATCGAGCTTACTAGTCGGTAGCTGTAAACACTAAACGACAGTAATTTATTTAGATAGTTCGGCAATTTACCATACACAATCTTATAAATGAACATACATACCAGATAATTTATTCTTTGTTCAACTAGTTATAATTCTAATGTTTCAAGCATACTGTTTGCAAGTAGATATACAAGTAGAGTTCCTCCCTCCGCGATAGAACAGATTGAGGTTCGTGTCCATGCTAACTTGTTTTGTGTTTATGCAAAATTACCGACTGCTGGCTGCTCTATTTTATCGACAAAATTACTGGCAGTCGATAATTGTAATTGTATTTTTGTACAATTTTGGCAGCATTCTTCCTGTTTTACCGTGCGAATTAATGGCAATCGATAATTATACCATTTTCAAAGAATGTCTCTATTTTCCGAGAAAGCTTATTGATTTTTTTTTATACCGTGCAGTTGAATAACGTAATGTGCACATTTTATTGTGTTTCATTATGCTGAACAAATTCTACGAAATTCGATGACGTCACGAACATTACGTTATCTTCTACGCAGTTAAATGATAGAATATGCTAAGTTTAAATGTGTTTACAACGTAGTTTACACAATGACATCATAAAACTGTGCAAAAAATGTCGGAGACGTTTATACTTGTAACTGCGTAATGATGACACAAACCGATTTTATTGCATAATCTCCGGTCAAATGAACATGTTTGGAATTTTTCGTGTATGCTCCAAATTGAGAGTGAGGATTTATGATGTGAAAGTCGAGACCTAAAGTGATTGCCTTTCATCCTAAACGTTCTTTTGTAAAACTAAATTTTTCAGTGTTTGATAAATTTTTGTTCCGTACTATCAGATGTCATATTGGAAATAAGCATTTATCAATAGTGACATCTGGTATATTTCCTATATATTATTGATTTTCACTCTACTTTTTTTTAATCAGCATTCTTTGTCAATATTTCAATCGGTTAGCATTTGTTCAATAATTTTCATAAAGTATTTGTTAAATTATTATTATAATTAATATTTGTGGCATGCCTTTACAACTAATATCGTCTTAAAAAAAAAAAATAATTATTGGCCCATGATGAAATGACTTACTCCAAAAAAAGTGCCAATAAAAGTGATGTTACTTGGCGCTGTGTTGGATTAATTGTAACCTCTTAATTCACACAGATTCAGATAAAAAACGTATATCCTTATTTGTATATGACATAACATGAAGATTTATATTGTAATATTATTTCGCATGTTTGTTAATGTTAGTAGATAATTCATTATTCAGATGATATTGTTGGTGTTATACCTCAACATGAACATCCTGGGAACATGGCACATGTAAAATTAGAAAGAGAGCGAGAAAGACTGATGAAAAACCAGCCTACATCGTTGCTCGTTCTATGTGTGGAATATTGTTACATGTAG